TTTTTTAAATTATTTTTATGTGTATTGTTGTTTTAGCTGAATGCGGTTAAGTTGCCTCAAAATATTTGTTAATGAGTGAACAGGAAAATATTTTGTATAACATTAAACAAATCCTTACAAAAACACTTTCCTTAGAAACTTTGGGTTCATCGCCTTTGTGCTGTAGCCGGGGAGGGTGTTGCGAAGGAAGACACCAGGATTAAGTGTTGATACACCACACAAAACCATAATAAAAGACCAACAGTGATTGATAATCCAACCTCAAATCATGGTTTTCAGAACCTGATTTGTGGGTCCTGCCTAACCATAGTTAGCAGAGGGGCCTGAGCAACTACACTAAGAAGAAGAAGAGGAGATTGGATTTATACCCCACTCTTCACTACCCAAAGGTGTCTCAGAGTGGCTTACAATCTCCTTTCCCTTCCCCTCCCCACCACAGACACCCTGTGAGATAGGCGGGGCTGAGAGAGCTCTTGACAGAAACTGCTCTTTTTCAAGAACAGCTCTTATCAGAACTATAGCTTGCCCAAGGTCATCCAGCCAGGTGCAAGTGGAGGAGTGGGGAATCAAACCCGGCTCTCCCAGATTAGAGTCCGCGCACTTAACCACTACACCAAACTGGATCTCCATAGTTAGTTTAATTAAAACCAGTGCTATGTGTCTCTGAGCTGACACATGACTGCCCGGTTCCCAATTTGGAAACGTTTGAAATGCTTCACTAGTACCATGCCTCATCCAAGGGATGCAAAGGAGATGCTTCCTAAATATCATTTATTAATCTTCTAGGTTTATTCTTTTCCTGTGACATACTACGGAAAGCTTTTTAAGATTTCTATTTCTGGCTTTGTTTTCATGCTTTTAATTGGTTCCTCAATATACCCACCAGAGGGCACTACTGGCTTCTCAAACAAACGGTTCCCACTGCCGGGCTTGGAGTTTATATCACAGGTTTGGATGAGTCATTCTCCGTTGCCATGGCTTCCAGTTTTGATTTCATGCAGATTCTGGCCTTGTTGTTTTAATGGCAAACTTTGGCAGTGATCATTAGAGAATGAGACTGAACTATAGACTGTGCCAGCAGAGACTTATTTAAATATAATATGACCCTTACAGAACGCCCCCCCCCACAGAAAGGATAAAAATGCCAGTCTGTTTGATCTATTGCTCTATCTTAGTCAGAATGCATTTTCTTGGAAGTCACAGGAAACAACAATAAAAAGTCTCCATCTCCCTGAGGTAAAGGATGCACAGCATCAGCAGGCAAATCCCGTGTTTCTAATGAATTTTTAAAACTAACGATTCAAACTAGGGCTGCCAAGTGGGGGGCGGGTAAACCCCCGCTTTGGAGGCCCGATTTCCGCCGCCACGGAATCGGGCCCCGGGGGGAACCCCACCCCGGCGTGCACGTCACCAGGAAGTGACGTTATGACGCCGGGCACGCTGGGGGCGGGGCCAACACGACCATCCAAGGGGAAACTCTATGGTTTCCCCTCGAATGGTCGTGGCCCCGCCCTCAGCGTGCCCGACGTCGTAACGTCACTTTCTGGTGACGTGCGTGCGGCGCGTGTGCAGAGGTGAGTTATACTTGGCAACCCTCATGCCAACATTTGCATCAGTGTATGCAGACTACCAGTGATGGACACCGAACGGCAGAGGGGGACTGGAAGACGGAGGTATTAGGGGAACCCTCCGCCAAGCCACTGCTTCATACAGCAGGAGCCCAACACCTGTCTTTAAACAGCATGACCAAAGAGATGCTTAAGGACCTCCCGAGGGAATTTTTGACTAAACACTTGACCATTATTGACATAAGAATGCTGCTTCTGGACTCCCCTGGGGGGTGGGGGTGGGT